GAGTCTAATTTTGAAAATACCATTTTTAGTCACCAAACTAAAATTAAACTATATAGAAATATTATCCAAGGTTCATAGACCATTTTGGTATCATTAATTCATAGTTTTAACAATAATTTCAAGGTTTATGAATCTTGGTTTTTTCACACATGTCAAACACAAAACTCAACCAAATGACCGTTTATAAACAGAGAAACGATCTAAAGGAACATTCTAGTCACTAGATATATCTACGGGCTTACCTCGAAGCTTAATGAATATTTTGGAAATTTTCTGGCGAAACTTCCGGCAAGGATTGTGGCTAGCTTCAGCGACTTCACACCAAATTGACAGCACCACTGCACTCCTCTTTCAACAAGGAACAAAATAGAAGAAGAAATTGAATGTTTTGGTGAAGAATTGAAGTGGGCTCTCCTTATATAGCAAGAAGAAGAAGGAAGAGGCCAGGGAGGTTGCTGGTCGTGATCAATTGATCGGGTAGTGCGCCTGACTGCGATTACTACGGATTTTAAACGCAAGTCCCTGATTCGGACTAATTTTGATCCGAGTCGACAGTCAAACTCTACATAATGATATAATTTTCATTATTTATTGACAAACTTTATAATTTACTTATTTTTGGGTCCTTCTCAGTAATTTATTAATGATCAATTAATTAATTCCAATAGACCTATTTTCGAGGCGTTATACGAGTAGCCCTTTTACGACATCCCTGGCCCCAGACCCGCAATAGTTGACTTCCAGGCTTGACGTAGTGCGTCGAGGGCGCCTTGACTGAGGGGCTATGTGGCCCGAGTGTGGCGTAACTGATCTAGACGAGCCCAACCTTATAAGCCCTGGTAGTTGAGCCCGTATTTCCATAATATATATGTACCTGGTTTAAATTTTAAAAATGTAACAAAACTTTTTATCCTTACAAAATCAAAATTAAATTTAAATAAAGAAATATAAAAAATTGAAAAAGAATAATTATGCAAGAAATGCTTATGGAGCTAAACTTGTATTTCACAAACAATAGAGAACAAATGATAACAAATTTGTATTTCAAATAATTGTTAATATTTTTATATTCATCTACAAAAAAATCAAAACTCAAATAAAAGTTTACCTTGCACATAATGCAACTTGAACTAAAATTTCAAAATAGATTTATTATTAAATGAAGAAATATTAAAAGATTATATTTTAAAATGTTATACTCTAGATGTTCGATTTGAGATTTTTCGATATGAAATTTCATCTCGTACAATTTCCCAATATCGAACTGATTATTTGGTGTGGGACGATTCAATATTTTATCAATTCTTTATTGATTCAGTATTTTTTATTCGGTAATCTCATTTTTTGAGTAAATTTCAGCATAACCACGTAGATATGTAGATATTTTGATGTAGAGCAATGCTACGTTCACAAACAGAATGATCACAAACTCCACAAACTTACTATTTATGGTTTAAATTTTTAATTTAAAATTATTTTAGACTATTTTTTTTTTATCAAAGTTCACAAATAGTAAGTTAGAGAATTTTGTGATGATTGTGTTTGTGAACCAAGCATTTCCCTTTGATGTACTCCCTCCGTCCCCAATTTGATTACAAATTGCGAGTTACGGAGTGAAATTTTTTACTTTTTGAAATAATTTTATTTACACATTAGTATATCAATAAGATATAAAAATTATATAGTAAAAAAACTACGTCAAAAGTTCTACAAAACAAGAGGTGACAAGAATATTTTATTTTATCAAATACTTAATGAAATCGCGTAAACATACAAAAGTTATCGAGAGGATAGACAAAATTTTTTTAATCTATTTGATTTGATTCTTATTCTATACACCATACCCTAACACTCGCTCTTTGCAAGTTTTAGCTTAAAGTCTTGTTCTCTCTTTGTGCAAGCAAACTCTTCACCAGAGAATTGAGCAAAAGGGAACTCTCCGAAGGATCGCTTAGGCACCCATGGAAGGAGAAGGAGTACAGACCCAGCACCTGATTTTAGCAAAAAACATCTCTCTGCTTACCAACTCGGATGTTGACGACCTGCAGAAAGTTCGCCTCCGGGATGAGGTGTACAATGTCGTCGTCTCCAATGGTTAGCTCTTTTCTTTCTACTGGATTTAGAAGCTGTTGAATTTTCTTGTGTGATATTTGGAATTGACTGTCTCCTGTTTGATCGCAGATATGGCTCCCTTATACCAAACCCTAGTCTCGAAGTGCGTACTGACTTTGGATCCAAAGGTTCTTAATTCTATGCGGGATAGGATTGACGAGGAGCTCAAAAAGCTTGATGAAAAGTGAGCTTTCCTTGTTCATTTTACACCACTTTATCCTGGAGGATTAAGTTATTTAATTCTAGGGACTTGATTTCTTTGAAGACCAATGCTTCGTTCATATCCCATTCCTCACAGTTTACCATAAAGTCAAATAAGAGATGAATCACGGATTATGTGTCATTTAGAGATGCGTTTTTTCCATCAAACTATGGAATATTACGAACTTCATTCCATCAAGTGACGAAATGGCATTTTTTCTTAGTTCCATTGATTTGTCTTTTTAGGGTCAGCTATTTTTTTTAAATACTCCCTCTATCCCAAAATAAACAAAATAAATCTCACACTTATCTTTTTTCGTCTGTCCCAAAACAAATTTCACAAATCTCCTTTTTCTTGTTAAGGAAGGAACTCATTTGGAACAATCCAAAACTAGGAAACCTTTCTCCTTTCTAATAAGGTTAATAAAGTAAGCTCTCAAGTTGCCGTCCTTCACTAGAAGGAGCGGGCGCAGTGAACTGTAATTGTGAAAAGATTGGAAGATCAGGCCAAAGAAGGTGATGGCCCTGTAGATTTGTTCCCATGGTTTAAGTAAAATGCGTCGTGTTTGATTTCTAATCGCTTTTATGCAAGAAAGGGGGGTCACCCTCTAAGCCTAAGTATTCCTCAATGACCGATAGCGTATACCATGAGGGAAAGGTGAAAAGCACAAGTTTTCTTACTTTAAATATATTTCTATCACAATCTTTTTACTTCTCAACACTTTTCTAAAATCTGTGAAGTCAAATCATGAAGTTTGTTTCTGGACAGAGAGTAATAAATTCCAATACATGTGGTGAATCATTAAAGTTTGGGTTTGCTCGAGATGGGGGACTATTGGAAACAGTCTCTCCACTTTTGGGTAGGGATAAGGTCTGTGTACGTGCACCCTCCCGAGACCCTACTTTTTGCTGGATTTTACTAGGTTTATTGTTAGTTTTTTAATTCATATTCTATTAACATGATATTTTGTCAGGGCAGTTTGGTTGTTAACATTGTTTTGATGCTGATGCATTTTGTTAGAAGGTTCAAAATCATTGGGATAGGGGAGCGCTTATTTACTTCTTTGACATCCTGTTTTCTCTTTCTTCTATCCGATTTGAAGTTATCTTAGCATTCTCTTTTTTCCCCTATTGTTTTAATGAATGTATGATAGTAACAGTTATATTAATCAGCATCATTTTGCTTGAGTGATTTGTTCGCAATTTTGCATTACATATAAAACAAAAGGAGAAGATCTAAGCGTTTGAAGTTTTTTCTTGAATTGCATCATGTATGTTTCTTACCCAAGTAGACCTAATGTGCAATTTTATTACTAACAGTTGGGATGTCAAATGGCTTTATTTTCTGGTGCGTGGGCCTGTTGTAAAAGTTTATTTTCTATCTGTACTTTCCTATTTGTTTAAAGTTTTATATTTCCTTATGCTAGTCCTCTTTATTTGTGAATTTGTTATGTTGCTTCTTTTATAATTATTTAAAGGCTGTTAAATGGTTATGGGGCTTAAAAGGCTATACTGAATTACTCACTTTTCTGAGCAGTTTGCATTTTTTGCTGCACATATATTTTTCACGCAAGTGTGGCGGCAATGGTTCAGACATGTGAAGAGGAGAGTTGTGAATGCGTGGGCTTTTTGGGGGGGGGGGTATTAAACATGATATGGCTAGATTCAAGCTTACCGAGGACATGACCTTACATAAGAAGTTCCGGCGGTCAAGCATTAGGATAGAAGGGTAGTAGTATATTTAGGCATTTTTTCTCTAATTTAAGAGGTTCCTTCCATCTCTCGTTGCGTGTTTGTAGTTCTTAGAGAATGCATAGTTGTTTGTTCAGATTATTCTTTTGTGAACATGGATGTGTTGCTTTGTTTTCAGTGTATCTCGTTAATCTTCTAGCTTATTTTTATTGCATTTTGCGACCAACTCACTTTGGTTTTATTCCTTTTTGAGCCGAGGGTTTATCAGAAATAGCCTCTCCCTCCTTCACAGGTGGAGGCACATCCTACCCTCCCCAGACCCCAGTTGAGCGATTACACTGGGTTTGGTATTGTTGTGTTTCCTGTCTACGGCCTCTGGTTTGCAGTATTTTTGTATTTATATTTTTGCAAGGGGGGCTACAACATTTGGATGCATATTTCTTTAGTGTATGCTGTCTCAAATTGGCTAGCATATATGTAGGATTGCTGATGCAGAAGAAAATTTAGGAGAAAGTGAAGTCAGAGAGGCTCACCTGGCAAAATCTCTGTTTTACATTCGCATAGGTGATAAGGTGAGCATGAATGTTACTGCGTATATATTAATTTGAAAGTATTGGAATTTGAAATCGTGCATTTTTCCAATTTTAAATGGGGTTTGTTTCACTATAAAACTCAGGATAAAGCTTTGGAGCAGCTCAAGGTGACCGAGAGCAAAACTGTTGCTGTTGGGCAGAAAATGGACCTGGGATTTTATACACTCCAGATGGGTTTCTTTGACATGGACTTTGACCTAATATCAAAAAGCATTGATAGAGCAAAGAAGTATGGGTGAAGTGAATCTTTGGTGAAATTAATTTCTGGTGATGTAATTATTCTCAGTGATTGTCCTTTTTTCTCATAATTATTGCTTATTTGCTTGAATGTTAGCCTATTTGAAGAAGGGGGTGATTGGGAAAGAAAGAACCGGTTGAAGGTCTATGAAGGACTTTTCTGCATGTCAACCCGCAACTTCAAAAAAGCAGCTAACCTTTTCCTTGATTCTATCTCAACGTTTACAACCTATGAGCTTTTCCCTTATGATACATTCATATTCTATACTGTTCTCACAAGCATCATTACATTGGATCGTGTTTCCCTGAAGCAGAAGGTTTAAAAATCTGTTTTTTAATATTTACTTCCTTTATTTTTCTGCATTGATGGTTTCTTTCTTTTTAATATTCCTTTTACAATGCTTGCTACATGATACAGGTAGTAGATGCACCAGAGATCTTGACAGTTATTGGCAAGATCCCTTATCTCTCTGAGTTTTTGAACTCTTTATATGATTGTCAGTACAAGGAATTCTTCTCTGCATTCTGTAAGTGTTTTTTTGTCAGGGGTCTTTCTTTTGATCTGTGTTTGTGTTGATGTGTTATTGCCAATGGAGTTATATTCTTTGAGCATACACTTTCTATGTTTTGATAGGGTTAGTTTTAGGTAGGTTCGAATTAAGGTTAATGGCTCATATTTCATAAGTCGTACTGTTGTAGACTTGTAGAATGAGACCATTGCAGAAATTTCAAATTATGAGTTGGGTTAGAAAGTGATTGTATTATTTTTGAATGAAGACTTCTGCTTTTAAGTATTTATGACGGATCCTAGATCCAGTTATATCGAAGAGTTGAAATGTTGCTCAAAGCCTAGAGCATTCAAAGGGGGTATTAATTAGATGTGTCCTACATACGACAACCTGGGCATGATTGAGGTTACTGGCATCATATACGATTCCAATACCCAAATACCTTAAGTATATGGCACTCGCAGAAGATTGTGGATGTAATAAAATTTCCATGTAATGCTAAAAAAGGACAGATCAGTTAACCAACGTAGTTACTCAATTGGATTTGAAATCGGTGAAGGAATAGAGATCAGAGAAAAGGTGTTATGTATGCCACAAGTGATATGGGGGACTAAATAGCTATGTAACAACTAATCTCTAATCCAAAATCTCTAGGGTTGGGGCTATATAATATGGTTTACCTTGGTGTATGTTGTTTGCTAGTGATACTATTTTGATAGAAGGGCTACTGTGGGTGTTAGTGGTAAGGGTTTGAAGGTCCTATTGTGGACTATCTGGCATGAAATGGTGATGGGGAATGCTGAACAAAGGAAAAGAAGCCTAACAAGAGATAGCTCGTGCCCTTTTTGTAGCGGTCACGAGGAGACCATTTCTCACATATTCAGAGCGTGCCGAAAAGCAAGGCAAATCTGGAACATTGTTGATGATAAGAGACAGAAGATTAGGAGATGGATTGGTCACACCGAGATGAGGAGATGGATTGGTGACAGCCTAAAGAGACAGAAGAACAGGCACACTGAAAATAACTGGGCTGCAACCTTTGCCATCACCTGTTGGTGGATTTGGAGGTGATGAAACAACGTTGCCTTTTGGTGGTGAAGACGTTGACATCCTACGCAAATTGGAATGGATAAAGGAATCATCCAAATAGATTACTGGTTCCTTAAAAAAACAGCATGCAGTAACTCCCTCCTTTTCTGACTGCTAGAGATCAGATACGAAAGTGGAAACCGGCTGTTAACCATGAGTTCACTTTGAATTTCGACGGGAGCAAAAAAATAATACTCCGTAGCAAACAGGACTGGGTGCGGTGGAACAATGCAGCAATGGAGAATGGTTGGGTGGCTTTGCATGCAGAACTACACCAACTAATAATAAAGATATTGAGCCCAAAGCCATCCAAAAAGGAATTCAATGGCATGGAAGAGAGCGGTGAGAGATCTTGAGGTGCAGTTTGATGCTGCAGAAGTAGTCAAATGGATTACGGGCAAACCATTTTGAGAGGACCCATGCGAGCGTCTATTTCAGCTATCGAAAACTAGAAGGCTAGGTTCCGAAGAATCAGCTTCAGAGCTATATTTTGGGAACAAAAAAGGGTGGCGGATCGTTTGGCTAACTTTGGTGCCAATCAAGACATCAATTGGAGAAATTTTGAGGTTCCTACAATGGATCTGGAGTCTTTATGAGCTGATGACTTGATGAGCATAACCACGTCATGCCACATGACCTCGAGTTTGTTGAGCTACAGGTTTGGGTTCCCCCTCCCTTTTGATTAAAAAAGGTAAGGGTTTGAGACTCGGTAGAATTGAAGCAGAATATATGGAATGCAACTTTAGTAACTATTAAGGATCAAAAGATCTCGGTCAGTGATCGTTTTAGATTATAAGTTCTATTATGCAATAAGATGAAGATTATGAAAATCTAGTAAAGGTGGGTTGGTTGAAGTGGAAGGAGTGTAACCGGAGTTCAAGGTTGTTACGGTGACAGGGCAAGTCGAGGCGCAGATGTGCCTTCGTATCACCTAGGCCATTAGGCGCATGCCTAGGCTACAATTAGGCAACCTATATATATGTGTGTGTGTGTATGTGTTTGTGTGTGTTTATATACATATGTATGTATGTATGTATGTATGTATGTATGTATGTATGTATGTATGTATGTATGTATGTATGTATGTATGTATGTATGTATGTATGTATGTATGTATGTATGTATGTATGTATGTATGTATGTATGTATGTATGTATGTATGTATGTATGTATGTATGTATGTATGTATGTATGTATGTATGTATGTATGTATGTATGTATCCCTCCGTCCCAAAAAGAATGCCATACTTCACTATTCAAAATTCACGAGAACTTTAGTTTATTTGTGCGTTTTGATTGTTTATTTGATAAAATAAAATATTCTTCTAACCTCTTGTTTTGCAAAACTTTTGATGTAGTTTTTAAATATGTGAGTTTTATTTTTATTTCTATACAAAAACAATATTAACAACCCAGTTGAATCCAACCACAGTAGGGTCTGGGGAGGGTGTGTGTACGCAGACCTTGCCTCTTCTTGGAAGTAGGGAGGTTGTTTCCAAGAGACCCCCGGCTCCACCTGCACAAAAAAATATGATAGGAAACACAGTATAACACAGATAAAGCACCAAATACAATGGAATGAAAGTCCTGCAAGCAATAGCAAAAAATTCCAACCAAACAAAACACACTACAAAAGCCTCGAAGCACCGGGCCCCTATCCAGCAACTCTAAATCCTACCTAATCACCTCCTTCCAATTCTTCCTAGGTCTACCCCTTCCCCTACCTCCCCCGACAACCGTAATCCTCTCGCATCTCCGTACAGTGGCATCAGCATTCTGCCGTCTTACATGACCAAATCATCTCAACCTCGCTTCCCGCAGTTTAACTTCCACCGACGCCATGCCTACCTGACGTCGGGTAACTTCGTTCAAAATCCTATCCAACCTTGTCTTCCCACACATCCATCGTAACATCCGCATCTCCGCCGCATGCAGACGACGCACATGACTCTTCTTTACCGCCCAACACTCTGCCCCATATAACATAGCAGGTCTGACTACGGACCGGTAGAACTTACCTTTCATCCTGGGCGAAATCTTTGGATCACCCAACACCCCTGAAGCCAACTGCCATTTGGCCCAAGCCACACCAACACGATGTCCAACATCCCCGTCTAATTCCCCATCAGTCTGAATTACCGAGCCAAGATATCGAAACTTGTCTACCTTAAGCACTAGGTGAGAGTCAATCATAACTTCTACTTCTGATTCTGTTTCCCGCCCGCTGAAACGACATTCCATGTATTCAGTCTTGTTCCTACTTAATCTGAATCCTTTGGTCTCAAGGGCAAGGCACCATAATTCTAACTTATTGTTTAGTCCCTCACGCGTGTCGTCGATAAGCACATATCATCTGCAAAAAGCATGCACCATGGGAACCCTTCTTGAACACCTTGGGTCAGGACATCCATCACCAAGGTGAACAAAAAAGGGCTAAGGGTAGACCCCATCCCTACCAAGAATGGCTCAGAGTCGCCCCCGGAGGTCCTTACCCTAGTCCTAGCCCCACCGTACATATCCTTGATCGCGCGAGTGTACGCGATGGGAACTCCTCTCGACTCAAGGCACCTCCGGAGGTCCTTAAAGAGTTTGGTTAACCAAACCCACCCACCACGACCCGCATGCTTCCAAAACTCCACTGGAATCTTATCTGGTCCCAACGCTCTCCCACTATGCATCCCGCAGAGAGCCCGAGCCACCTCTTCTAGGCAAATGCACCGGCAATACACACGAGACGCCTCAGACTGCCCCAACTCATCAAGAACTAGCCTCTGGTCTCCTCCTGCATTTAAGAGTTCACAAAAGTACTCCTCCCAGCGCTTAGCCACCTTGGCAGTCTCAACTAACACTCTACCATCGCTGCCCCTCACGCATCTCACGTGGTCCAGATCTCGGGCCTTCCTCTCACGCACCTTAGCAAGCCGGAACAATTGATTAACACCGCCTTTCTCCTCTATATCCTTGTAGAGGCGTTCAAAGGCGACATTCTTTGCCTTCGTAACCTCTAACTTAGCTTCTTTACGTGCCTTCTTGTACTCCACTCGTAACGCCGCTCTTTCCTCTTCAACATTACAGTTCATGTACCTCAGATATGCCACCTTCTTGGCTTCCACCTTACTTCGAACTGAGTCACTCCACCACCAATCACCCTGATGCCTTACACCCAGAGCTAGAGCTCACACCTAACACTTCCCTGGTTGTTTCCCTGATGCAGTTGGCAGTCTGCACCCACATATCAGTAGCCTCCCCGGCAGATTCCCACACACCTTTCTCCTGCACTCGCTTGATCAACTCAAAGATTTTCTCCCCCTTTAGTCTCCTCCACCTAATTTGTGTGTTGCCACCCGTAGCTCTCCTATGTTTCACCCGCCTGATCATGACATCCATCACCAGTAGCTTGTGTTGGATAGTGATGTTCTCACTCGGAATTACTTTAACATCCTTGCAAAGCATCTGATCACACCTGCGCAGGAGAAGATAGTCGATCTGAGTCGCCCCCACTCCACTAACAAATGTAGCCAAATGATCGTCTCGTTTAGGGAAACAAGAGTTAGCAACCACCACATCACTCGCTCTGGCAAACTCGAAGAGTGAAATTCCCACTGGGTTCCTACTGCCAAAGCCAAAATCACCGTGCACGTCCTCGAAGCCCTCGACAGAGTCTCCAATGTGGCCATTGAAGAAGTCGCCTCCAATGATGACTTTCTCGGTTAATGGAAAACCAACAACCACCCCATCCAAGGCGTCCCAAAACTCCCTCTTAACTTCGTCTGCCAAGCCAACATGCGGGGCGTAAGCCCTCACGACATTGATCGCACAACCACCCAAAACCAACTTGATAGCCATCAGACGATCACTAATCCTCTTCACCTCCACCACAAACTCTCGCAGCTCCGGAGCCACCAGAATACCGACTCCATTCCTTCCCCTAGCTGAACCTGAATTCCATAGTTTGAAACCATCAAACTCTCGCGCCTTAGTGCCCACCCACCTGGTTTCTTGCACACACGCCACCTGAATCCTTCTCCTCTTGAGAACTTGCACCAACTCAATTGACTTACCTGTGAGGGTCCCTATGTTCCATGAGCCAAAACGCACATGGGACACTACCTTACCCCTCTGCGAACCTCCTACACCCGTCCCAACCCCGGGATATGACCTTAGAGTTACATTGCTAACCCGCGCCACTACACCTACACAACAGCACCAAAAAGCAAAGCAGAGACGAGACTACTAACGTACAAACCACTGCTAAAGAAGGTAAGAGCAACAATACAAATAACAATAAAGGAGTACGGTAGTAGAACAAGTAGTTAGCAATCAAAGCCACTGTAAAGCAATAATAGCAATCAAAGTACACAAAAGTGCTAAAATAGCAGTAAAAGTAATGAGAACAAGGAGAGGGTTTGGGGCAGGTGGTGGAGCTAGGGTGTGGGACTGCGGCTAGAGTGAGGTGAGGGTCCCTATGTTCCATGAGCTGAAACGCACATGGGACACTACCTTACCCCTCTGCGAACCTCCTACACCCGTGCCAACCCCGGGATATGACCTTAGAGTTACATTGCTAACCCGCGCCACTACACCTACACAACAGCACC